ATCCATTGTTCTGATTGTTGGTTAAGTGCGTGTGAATAGGAAGTTCTATTTTACCTTTGGTCAAAGTTAAGAACATTTTGATGAAAATAACCAACTTTAAGGGGTAAAGGCAAGCAAGGGTTCGCTTTGATGGAATGGTGTAATACCACAGCGATAGAAAGATGTTCTGTCTATCTTGTCTTTGAATATTCGGAAATCCACAGACTCGAAGCGAAACGCAGATTTAATCTTGATAGGTGGTTATTTCCTACCATCTATTTAATATTTTAATTTTCCAGACGAAGACTAACATGTTTCAGAAAATTATGAATAGATTTTTTACAAACGCTAACTGCTTACCCTAACCTGGTGGAACTTTGGTTGATAATCAGCCAAACTTTCACCAGGCTGATAATAGCTTCTTTAGGACCAGCGCAAAAAAATAAGTAATTATTGATTCACAACGCAATTGCCCCGGATACGGTCACGTCCTCTCTAGTCTCATCTATTTTGGAATCGCCTTTGTCTCAAACTGTCCTATGGTATGAGATACTTTAAGCTGGTCTACTTCACACGAAGATAGTGCCTCCCCCTATCAGGATATGACAAATAGTCGCCGGTGCGTCCCTAATGAAGCGTCTCTGATTAATGGTGCTTGCCCTATCGCCTAAAGAGGTGACGCCTTAAATGGAACCAATGGGTATTTGCTCTTCTTTCATGGAATACTGCATATTTCAAAGGACTTCAAGACAGCTATACACATGACAAAACAAATGGTCGTTTTTTGATATATTATTTATGAAACATAAGTAATAACTAAAAAGTATAACATTCGTATTCATTGTGAAACTCATAAAAAAATTAAAAGAGAAAAATGGAGTCGTAGCTATCAACAAATTAACTTAAAATTACCATTGTTGTTCTGCTAACGTTTTTCGTATCTTAGGAGCTTAATACGTTTTTGTAAGTGCAAGTGTGCATTTTGTCTTTTAAAATTTGTGCTCTATACAAGCATGGCAAAATGCATATTTTTCACATGTAAAAAAAATATACAAGCACTTTTTTGTAAACATATTAACTCATTCGTTGGCACTTTCAGCATGCTTTATATTCCTCCAAGTTTTATGGACTATACTTTCAAGGGGAAGAAAATAAATGCCTTTCTTTCAGTGTTTACACGACAATTTGTTTTACAAATGGACATTTCCATTTGAAATGCTATTGAGGGTTATTTAAAGGCATTTGTTTTACAAATGTTTTTTGTTTTTATTTTATTGTCTTTGGCAGACTGGAATAATAATATGTAACTTTATTCATCTCTTACTTGCTATACTTGTAGGTAGGTATGTAAAACTATCTATAAAGAAACATTATTAAAACACTAAAACCATAGAAGTACATGTAATGACGTCTGGGACAACATTAGGCTGTGTTTATGGCTTGTACATAGGTGAGAACACAATTAAGATAAACATACAAGGATGTGTAACTGACTGTTTTAGGTCCATTGATGTATATTATGTACTTTGTCGATGACCAGGGTCCAGGATATCTTTCAAAATATAAGATAAGAAACATAACTTTCTTAGGGTATCTTTTACCGTGCGTTACGTTACGCGTTACTAGAAACTTCGTCCACATTATTAAAAACGGCACACTTATATAAAAAGTAAACATATTTTTCAGTGTAAATGCCTAAATAAACATTATTTTAGTAGAATCAGCCGTTGATCAACCCTCATAAAAAGTCGACCCCACCTGGGTGTGGGCCGTATATCATCTGATTATGCCCTTAACACGTTGGGACTTAGGCAAAAGTACAAACATTAAGACATTAATATGAAAACACGACAGTTAACATAATTTATGGTTTGTTTAACAAATTATTTCTATGAGACTAGAAATTATTGTTTCTTTTGAACTCTTAATGTGTTGCTCAAATCAAATTACGTTTATTTAGTATCTTTCATCATTTTTTAATTCATAGTCTCTTGTCGCGCTCGTGTGTTGATTATTATTAGACATAATAATAAACGGGTCGTGGGTTTGGTTACATAGTGGTGGGGATTGATTGGGGTACAGTTGGATAATTAATCTCCAAAACTAAATAGGGCAACCGCACATCTTGTTGACACTGTTATATGGCCTTTCTCTACGACAAAAAGAACTTTATTAGGTAAACTGTTCCGATATAAAATTATACTTATTCTGAATGTGATGAACTTTTCGTGTCCTTGTGTTCCCCCGGGGATTCGAATCTATTATGCTTAACGCTATATAACGCGTGTAAGCAATGGGCTACGAAGGCGTAGTAAAGTTAAACTGTTGTGAAAACCCAGGAGATAAATGGAGTAAATAAATGAACCGAGTTGGTATTTCGTGAACAATTAATCAATAGACATTTTGTCGATTGTCACATCGATTTGTCACGACACATTTTGTCGACAACAGTTAGCAATGCCACCCACTACGAAATTAAAATAGATCGCATGTCAATATCAATGTTTTTATTAATATTTTGGAATAAGCGAAGAGATGAAACGATTGTCAATACCAATAGTCGAAGGCGAAAGAAATTACAAATATCTTTATCCAATGGATCCCATAATTTTTCAGGAACATGTTGGACATCGTCAGGAAATCTGAATTAAAGCAATTAAGTTTTGAGCATGTTAATCTCGGTTCAGTTTCAGTCTATGGAATATCATCAGTTCCGAATATCCAAAGCCAAACACAGGTCGACAGCCATGTTATATGGCTAGAGTATTTTACCAATCGGGTGAACTTCGTGTTTGTCTGTCGTATAAAAAACCGTGTTTTTTTTTTATTTGCCAACGAATATTTAAAAATTAAACCACGAGGTATTGTTTCAACTTGTAACAACTCAATAAAATATATGCTTGATTTTTAGTAAAATATATGTAATATTGAGTGTTGCATAGTTAGCTTTGCAAAAAAGCAAATTAAACTTAATGACATTCGAATTCTTCAATTATAGAGGCTCTTCAAGCCCGTACAATGTCAGGGGCTGATGACTGACAGAATACATCACATGGTCTGCACTTCAACAGTTAACAGTGATGTAACATTAGTCGGAAGCCATGTCATAAAGTTTTAGTAGTTAGGGGGAAAAGCACACGGACAGGAGAGGCGAAAAAGCGATTTAGAGCAAAATCTAGATCCCAGTCAATTTTTAGACACAAATAAATTTTTGACTCAGTATGCACGTAAAAGACGAAAAATAAGGCTTTGATATAATTGATGAAAATTTAACTCCCAGATAAATATTTAGGAAACATAAATATTTTTTTTAATTTCGTATCAGGAATTGATTTCTCTCGTCGGCCACTGTAGCTAAATGGTTTAACGTGTTGTCTAGCATCGCGTTAAGGGGCAAAAGGTTCTGAGTTCAAATTCCCGAGGAAAACAATAGATTATTGCGGTCGGCCAGAGATCAGAAGTTTTATTAACTTACCTGTAATGACACAGAAATTCTATTCTATTTATTCACTTTTATTTTTTAATTTTAATACATTTTCGTGAAACTCTTATCACACATCAAGAGAGCATAAAAATGATTCCCGTAAAGCTCGCTTCATTAATCAAATGAAACGAATGTTTACAGTAATTTGATACGTATAAACGTAATTGACGCTTGTCGACATACGATCTTACACCAATAAAACGCGTGGCTCGTGTAATTACAGCGATTACGCGTCGGAGTAATTTAATTAAGATATTTCGGTAACTAGATGGCGTACTGATATTGATCTAAGGCCGTGATACATATCACGAGAGAGCGTTTTTCAAAATTTTTAAGATACTTGGCGAGTTGACATCGTTTTGTGCTGGTGTTCTAATCATTTCAGGTACTGTGTCTCTAACATTGTAGAATTTCTTCAAGCTATTGTTACATAAACCTCTAATGTGCCGTTTATTATAGTAACGAGCTTCAGAATTAAATCTTTGTGCGGTTGGCTGTAATCAAGTTTGATACGACTCATGATAAAATAAATACTCGTAAGAAGCTTATTGAATAAGAACCTGCTCCCAACATTTTGTCATCTTATCATCAAAATAAAGATAATCGAGAATTCCTGAATCAGGTTCACGGTCAAAACTTTCACCAGGCGCCTGGATCATTAATCAACAATTGATCGATAGATCCGAAACAGCTCGGTCGTTATCTAACTAGTGATACTATTGTGACTTCCTAATGAACTGGATAATATTTTAAATAGACGATGCATTTAGACGACGCACCTGCTTGGTAGTGGGAACGCAAGAAAAAAATGAACGGTATGACAATCAACGGTCTTTAAGTCAGAAATTTGCCAACATTCTTCCCACTCTAAGACACAATTGGAAGAATAACCAACTTCCTGGAAATTATTCAATTTTTCAAAATGCACTGCAGTTTTTGAGGATCAAATTGCAAAAAGTCTCGGCGTTTGGGATGCTTTCAGCAGCCTCTGGTTCCTCAAAATGCCAGTATGCCAAATTATTTAATTAAGTTAACGCGAATAGCATCTGAATCGTTGGCCGAAGTTAAAAATCATTTTCAAATAAGTTTAACTAATATACCGCGTTTTAAACTGTTAAAGTGTTTTATTTAAATGTGTACTACTCGCGTACACTATAGACAATTTTAATTAACGGCAAGTTATTAATCAACCTTAATATAAACTTTATTACCATTTGAATGTAGTCATCGATCATTTGGCTATTAGTTCGCTTCTATTTAGTCGCATTTCAAAGAAATTTAATTTATTAATCAGGACAATTGTACGTATCGCAACAATCAGGCCAAGGATTCAATAAAACATCAAAAACGATGATTGTTGACGCGACGTAGCATCATCAAGTCTAAAGTTATATGATACCACAAACTTTGATTGTGATTATTTACGAATTTTAATTGACCATGATGTACAAGTCTTGCGAAACTCGACTTTGATTTCACTTAATTATTTATTAATTAAATATGTTGTCAAGTTTAAACTGAAATAATGAGGACTTACATTAGCGTAATGAAACCCACAGGCGTCCATGCAGAGGTAGAGGCAACTGGACACCCCCTGGATCGTCAGGAGGCCGACCTTGTACGTCGCACGCTGAAGTATCGCTGAAACAATAGGAACATTGAAAATGAGACTCCGCATTTAAAATGTTTTCGTAAAAGCTACATTAAATAATCTTTCCCTTCTTTCATCTAGGGGTTGCGGAAAAAATCGCTTGTTAGCGATAAGGTCTCGCTTATATTTTTGTCCATTTTTTTTTGTGCAATGAAGTGTAAATAAATAATTAAAAGTTGTCTTTTCGACGTATTTTTTTTCTGTCAAAAAGACAAAAAGTAAATTTTAATGGCGTCATAATAAATCACAAATATTCTGTTGTACTCTGTCTCAATTATGTAAAAATTACAAATATTAATTTTATTTCTATTACAAAATTACTGGGTGCTATCTTATATAATATGTACAGGTATCTCGTTTATGATACAATACTGATATTCATACTGTTATCATTTATATGTCTGAAATGTAAACCCGCGACGCTCTAAACCAAAATTTTATAAAATTTTAAAATTCAGAGTTCAAAACGGAAAGAGAGGTTACACTTAATTTTACGTCCGCTAAATATTTTTAGTACGGGTGTACATATAATAATAATAACTGTCTCCATAATCTAAAACTATTTCGCATAGTAAAATGTGGTCTCTGTGCGGTGACTGTGAGAACTTTTTTTAATGACCAGGAAGCACGTTATAAGAAAACGATAAAATTCACAGGACAACGTATATCCTGTACCTTAGTTATATTTGGTATCTAATACGTATATTTTAATATATATACTGTACATTAAAACGTTTACTTCAATTAGTCAATAACGAAAATATTTACGTAACTTTTTATTTAAAGGGAAAGGAACTTATATTATTGTATAATGAGACACGAAAATAAACGATTTGCATCTAGTTCACCGTAGTTAATGCTATTTACAATACGACATAAAGGCGTAAAAGCAGGCATAAGTTATTAGTTCCCAAGTATAGGGCTTGTTAAGCCAAATAAGGCAGTATTGCCGATTCCATCGTTTGCTCCAAGTTTTACATCTGACGCGCGGGAATAACTTAGACTAATAACAATTGGTCTAAGTTATACCTATTTGCTCCACATTATCTATTCCCTATATCTCCCTTTCTCTTATCTAACTTTAACTCTTAACCAACGTTATAAAGCTCAAGTGTAATTTGGTATATTAATATGTTTGTAACCTCTGTCTGTATTTTATACGGGTACAACACATAAAAATTTATAAATTTTAACGGTTTAAACGCAAAATGTGCTTTATTAGTTACTTATTTACAACTTTTTTATATACGGTTCGTAGAGTCGGATGCTTTTCAACACAACGTGGTCACGGGATCTATAAATGAAGGGTATTCTGAATGTCTAGGTAAAAACTGCTACGCTAACCTCAACGCTTTTTATACCGTTAAAAGTGTTTTAGTTAAATGTTTGGTAACCCTAATCTTATAAATCGTCTATATTGACAAAAAAATACTGCCAGTCGTCCCCATTCATAAAAACAAGAATCAACCAATTCGCTGGGAATATGAAAAAAAAAATCTATTTCACAACTTCCCTCTCTAGAAAAGAATGTTATAGTAAACTATGTCAATATTTTTCGTTGTCATAGCTAAACCGCATTCCCTGTGCCTGTCCCTCTCAGTAAGTTATCCTGTTTTTAAGTGCCCAATAAAATACGAGGAATGGCTAAAATGAGTAGCAATAAAAATACAAAGTCAAGTTTACCTAATCGGGTGTAATTTAAAGCCAATGAAACTTACGCGATCCGTTTGATTTGCGGTGGTAACAAGCTGATACTTAATGTCAAATTGATGGTGAATCACCTAGTAAGGGCTAGCCTGCAGCGATCACGGCTCTACTAATGTGATATCTAGACGTAGCGAATTCAATATTTCATAGGATATAATCGAAAATTACTGTTATTATGGGCAATTTATGGGAATACTGTTCTAGGTGAATTTTTATGTTCGATGTATCGAACTTATTTACGGAACATATAGCAATCTCCCCGGTCATATAACTAAACAATGTCCAGGTAATATTTAATTAACATAAAGATGTGTACGCAAAAACATCAACAATTTTCACATCACTGACCTGCCATGCCATAATTTAATGTAACGTTAGGTAAAGAGCAAAAAACGATCTCGCCTAGATAAAACAAAAATAGATGGCGTTAGTTATGCGTGTAATCGGCTCAGTCACGCGAAGACCACACATGAGGACAGACGTGTCAGTAATTCCTGCTAATTAACGCAATCAGTGTCGGCTTGACGCATGAATCTTTTTGTTATAATTAGCTTTTATTTCTAACACGCAATGTCTAGATAGACTAATGTCTATATTAGGTGCTAGAGACTTGATACGAGCGATCTAAGACTACAATTCAGGTGTCGAGATTTGATGAGAAAATTACGGATTTTGAACGTTTAAGCCACGAGTTTGTTAGATAAATAAGAAGTAAAAAGAGTAGTTTTTTAAACTAGACAGCTTCTTTGTTTCCAAATGAAAAAAATGTACACATCGTATGCCTATATAATCTTAAAGCAACGCATCTCTTTTAGAGTAACTTTTTGTGATTTTTGAATGTATCATGATTAAAGCATCATCAAATGAACTCAATACCTGTCTGTCCTGCTCTGCCTTAAAATAATCAATGCGATAGCAGATGGACGATTTTAAATCTTCATCTTCATTAAACACTCACCGTGAGAGAAAACAGCTGTATAAGTTAGTGAAGTAATCTAACTGATAACATTAATAAGAAAACCATAACATTAATGAACATTAGATAAGGTATAAATAATACTTATGGTGAAAGTTGGTAGCTGTCAAAATTAGTACCAGTTTTAGTGACACCAAGCGATTTGCTAGTAATGGATAGTTATGGATATTACTGTTCAACCTATTAAGGCAATTGCATATAATTGAATTTTTAAGTGTGTCATTGCTTCACACAATATATATAAATCAAAACTGTTATCAATAAGCTGTACGAATTAATTCGGTTCGATCTCTCGTTATCATAAGTAATCATTTCCTATATTCACCTGAAATAATAGACATTGTATTTTAATGAATGTAGAATCGATTATAAGAAGTATTATCTGTAGCGAATAATACACACTTTAATAAAATTTGGTTTAAAACACGAATCATATTAGTATTAAGCCAAATTACTACATGTTTTAACTCCTTCCTGTTTATCTGTATAAAATGCGAAATTTATTTTTACTTACGACACAGACATTTCATGCTATCACATGCAGCACGAGACTAAAAGCGTTTAATTGTGATCACAAGGAGATTATTGGTCAAGTAAGTGTTATTTAAGTATTTTCCAAAACAGTTGGTCACCCTACACCGGTGCACCATGTCATTGGGAAAATATTTGGTCAGTCGTATCAACCCGTTGCCAGACAGGGCGGATGGTAGCCGGGACCCGAGTCGTCGTTTAGTTGACACTTGAACACAATTGGTGGAAATCCGTCCTGACATACATGCAGTGACACAATTATCTGACACATTGTTGCATTCATTCATGCATTGTTACACTCGAAATATACAGCGTTTATAAATAGACCATGGACATAAATATGCGTTCCACAATCGTCACGATTACAACAGTTTTAAGTTGTGTTTATCCGTAGTTTACGCTATTGTAAAAATTTAATGAAACGTCGTTTTACGAATGTATTTGTTGTTATTTTAACGACAATCTGTCATTTTTAATACCATCGATTTTAATCCCCGTTTTTACCGTTAAACACTTTTCCAACGCAACAGCATATTCCTAGTTAATAATTTAAATAATAGCATACTCCTACATTTGTTTATTAAATAAAAATAGTATCAGTGTGAAGAAAAGGAGAATCGGCCTAATCTTATTTCCAGAGATAGGGTCCAAACTAGTTTTATTGCCTCGAAACATCTATTTAAAAAAATTTCATAGCAAATAAAGTGCGAATCATAAAGAATAGCAGTAACAAGAATAGTTTAATGAACGGATCATTTGGAAGCTAGTTCTGAAGACTATAATAAATTCGGCTGAAACCGGCCACGTGACTGGGAGGTCATCGATCGGCCTTGTTAGCATTTTCGCAGTTTCGCGTGTGACGTCACGCCGAGCGACGCGACGTGCGCGCGAGCACGTATCTCACTAGTGACGTTCGTCTTACGAGTTATCGATAAAGTGACTCAGCGGTGATCATATGACTGATGACACGGAAGTAACGCGGTTGCTTCAAATGTATTAAAATTATGCAAATTTCTACGCACATTACGGCACGTAGACAACTTTATTGCTAAATATTGATTATTATTGTTTATTAGGTATTCCCTACAGTCTAACTATATTATCTATAATACATGGATGAAATAGATAACAAGCCATAAGGATTATACAAAAAAAATGTATTTATGATAACAGTACTTATGACAAAACACAACTAACTACAATAATATAACATTTTTGGTAATCAACTGTCTGTTATATACTAGTTAACATTAAAAATACAAATGTTAGCTTAGGACATATTTCCCTAATAACACAAAAATCATGACTTTTGAAGGAAGCACACTTTAAATAATGTGTTAATAAATACTATATACATAAATGTAAAATTTTTGTTACATTAAAAAAGTGGGTGTAAATGACGATGAGAATCGATCAATTAATAATAGCGATGAGTGAATAGTGTGCTCGTCCCCTGTTCATAGCATTATTGACCTTGTGTGAAAACAATTAGTTGTTTTCCTTATCAGCTATTCGAGTTGGTATTGCATATTAGTATCTTAACTTGTCATAGATCAACGAACTCTTCAATTATAACTAATGTAATATCTGGATAGAAATATAATATGAAAACATTGTTTTAGTAATAATTTATTGCCAATTCTCAAATGGAATACATAACATTTTGCATCTGTGTGACTACAGTATTAAATATTTATTCCATTTAATTTCCAAAGTAGTTTGCAACAAACTACTTTGGACATTAAAATAAAATCTAAATATTGTTTTATCAATTTAACCTTATTCTTTAACGAACAAAATACTTTGAGGGCAT